TGTTGGAGCTTAAACCTAATGGACATAAAATTCTCAACCCATGTTTATCCCATCAGTAGTATCCTATAACAGTGAAAACTTGTATAATTGTGTTAGAGTCAAAAGGCTTAATCTAGTTAAGGAAATGCAATCCAATTTTTAGATTGCATTATAACTTATATTGTTTGGTGTGAGAGTGACTTGGTCACCACTTTTTTATAATGTTATGATATTTTATGCGAATATAACAATTAATATTGATGAAATATGAGTGAAATTCTATTAAGAATAAATTAATGTTGATTTGTATATTTTACGTGTATTTGAGTAATACATATTATGATGATTATGTTTTTTTATGAGAAATGGATACAGATTATGAATATTGAATGAAAAAGGATTGGTCAAAAGGTTTTGTGTTTAGTGAGTTATTGAGTAATTTTTATATATCAAATTGTTCTATGTAAACACATTTTTTAAACTCAATGTAATATTTTTTAGGCTTAAATGCTTACTTCGTCCTCATGTTAAGATGTGAATTTCTGTTTAGTACCCGGTTTTAAAAATGAAGACATTGAGTCTCTATGTTATGAAAAGTGTATGAATAAGTCCTATCCGTTAAGTTGACAGCAACGATGTTAAGTCCATGCTGATGTGACCGTACTTTTTCTCTTTTCTCTTCTGTTGTCCATCTTTTTATCTCTTTTGTTCAACTTTTTCTTTGATGATTTGTTGAACTTGTTCTTTCTTTGTGTACCTTTTTCATATATTTTTCATAATATTGGGACCCAATGTCTTCATTTTTAAAACCGGGTACTAAACAGAAATTCACCTCTTAACATGGGGACGAATTAAACATTTAAGCCTTATTTTTACTAGGAAAGAAGTAAAATTATCCTTGAATTATCAAATATATTTGTTAAGTGTTTTTGAATTTCCAAACTTATTGAATGAGTCATTCATTCGTTGAGAGAAATTTTTGTTTTTAAAATCCATTGAACTTTCTATGGTTTACTCGTTGAACTAGCCAAAATTTGTCAGATAGGCCTTTGAAACTGGACTCCTAGGTTTTGGGTCGTTAGGAAAGTAAATCACTTACTGAATACAATTTTTTTCATAAAAAATTAGAGAACTTTGAGTAGTATGGTTCCTAAGCGAGTTTGGTCTCGTTGGGAAAATTTATTATGTTATGCTCCCAATACCTAGTTGCTAGGCAAGCCAATTTTCTTGTTGATTGAAATTAATTTGATAAAAATTCAAAGAGAACAGAGAGACTTGGTCATTGCTCAGAGAATTAAGCAAGATTGTTAATATTAAGGAGATCTTGTTGGAGACTAAAACCGATTGTAAGCTACATTTGAAGAATATTATAAGCATCCTTGATATTTCACCTTAATTTGATCTATATACAGGTACTTGATGAAGATGGTTATCATAATTCCTTTGATAATGAAAAATGGAATGAACTAAATAAAAAATGATGGTCGTAAAAAGAGAGAAGTGAAATATTCTTTATTGGACATCAATATAGTTCTTTATCCTTCAAGTGAATGCACTTGATGATTGTTCCATAAGACTATAGCATAAACAACTTGAGTGAGAAAGACCTTGTTACAATTGTAAAATGAGTTACTTTCCGTTAGAGGTTTGTCTTTTGAAACTTGTTCTTATTGTCTTATTGGTATAAGCAAAGTTTTTTTTCTCACTTGTGCTCCTAGTAGAAAACCACATATCTTGGATTTGATTCAAATTGATATTTTTATTATGGATGCTAAATCAATTAGTCCTTGCTTTTATTTGTTACTTTTATTGATATTTGAGTATATATGAATATGAGTAATACTTAATTTTTTAAGTTGGTTGTGAGAACGAGGAAGAATATATACATTTCATCCTCTCTCTCCCCATACCTATTGTGAGGACTACCGAAAAAATAATATATATATATATATATATATATATATATATATATATAATAACAAAAGGTATTTTGGTTTTTTTTAAAAGAAAATTGAATGGGGGAGAGAGTGATTTATCCATCACAACACATAGGATTCTTCAGCATCCCCTTTAATCTCTCATCTTTTTTCTAAAAATTTCAATTTATCTTTGGAAAAAGTCCTTTAATCTACTTTGAATAATTTAACGTAAGATGAGTGAAATCTGTCCTTGAGATTGTTTTTAGGTTTTGTAACGCATGCAACATTCTAGGGTTGCGTGTGATTTCTTCCTTGTAATCTAGATGAAATTTCATCTACTGTTGCTCATAGAATCATAAAATTGATTATTTTATGTTTTAATTGTGTATATAGGACAAATTTTGAGGAAAACTGGTAGTGCTCAAAACAAAAATTTAGTTAATATCCTCATTGAGATAAAAGAAGTTGTTTTTTTCTACATTTTAACTTAATATTTTGAATTTAAATTACTTCAGTGTGATGTTATAATTGCATGTTGATTTCAATATCAGAAAGTCAAGACATTATTTAAAAAACTTAATTAAATTGGGTTAGAAATGTGATGTTGGTTGAGGTTTTAATGCTTTGAAATTTAGGAGTATCTGAGTATCAATGTGGTTTGTGTGGATTTTGTTAAACATGTGATTTATGTTGGATTGACGAGTTGTTTGAAAGCATGACTAAGGTGTTAATTCTTGAAGCTAAGAGAATATAGAAAGGAGAACAAAATTTATATTTGGTTGCTTAGTAGAATGTTGTGTGTGTGTAAATCTTATAAATTATGGATAGGAATGAGAAAAATATGAAGCGAAGATAAAATGTTACTTTTCAAAGAAACTGATCTATTTGTGTTGGGCAATGGTTCTTTGGCATTGGACGGTACCTATGTGATATATTTTTCATACTTTGAATGATTTATATCTTGTTAAATTGTTTACATGTATAATACTTTTTACAATTTTTTGTCATATGTGTGAAAATGCATCTATTTGTGTGAACTTTTATTTTTAAGGTTGTTAAATTAACTATTTTCAAGTGGAAATGTTAATCTAGGATAAATGTAAGTGTATTAAGGAAACTTGATATGTGAGATTATCCTGATTCTACTATTTAACTTAGATAGAGGGAGATAAGTAGGTGGTGAAAGTCGAATAAAACTTTATATAACAAATAATATGATATGAAAAAGAATCATACTTAGAAAGTTAATAAGTTAACCTTGTGAATGAGATATATTATGTTTCACTTTATTTTGTTGTTGAGAAGGAAAGAAGAGACAATATGACATAAATATAATCTTACAAGTCTATAATATACTAGTCTATTTAATACTTCTAAAAATGATATTTGTTACACATATTCTCTTTTCAAATTTCTAAAATATATTTAATTTATTAGATAATCTAAAACACTTATATTATTGGAATTTATTTATAAGAAACATTTTATCATTTTTTATTTATCTTTTCTTATTTTATATTTATACAATTTTATTTGATATTAAAAAATAAAAAATGTATATTTTCGTTTATGTTGAATATTTATGATATTTTTTTGTTTATATTTTTTATAAAAAAAGATTTATTTAATATTTAAAATAAAAATATATATAAATATCAACCAAGTATGAGTATATTGCTTTTTATACCAATTAAACATCTCAATGAATTTTTTCTTTAAAAACAAACATAAAATTGCCAAGAAAGTTGTTAAACCCTAACATATTTCCCCAAATCTAAATCTATATTACACCTTTTACTTCCTTAAGCAACATTTAAAATTGTAAATTAACAACTTGAATGAATTATTAAGTGTAAATTTGTTTCCATGTATCTCACTCAGTAATACAAGTTATTGATTAACTTCTTTAATAAAAGTTATTAAAACTGGTTATATAACTTAAACACAACTAATTTTATTTTCAAAACTACTTCAATTATTATTTTTCGCGTGTTGATAAAAGAATTTATTAACAACTCACTATTATTGATAATTCAATTCCCCTCAACTGGTTGTTACTCTATTAGGAACTTTAGCTTTTATAGGAAGTCATTATTCTGTCTCAAACTTCACAAAATAATAACACAATCCATTATTTTTCTTATCTTCAGTGTATTATAAACTAATAAAAATATTATAATTAATTTAAAGTTTTTCAAATTGTGTTTTTCTCAACATCGTCATATTAAAATGATCTCTTCATCAACTAATGCAACCACATTTTTAAGTTTAAAACTGGAATATTTCCTACAAAATTTCTATTAAAACATGATAATATAAGCTGAGAGTTTCATTAAGATGAAGATCATCAAAATAAAAGTGTGACACTTTTACTGAAACAAAATACGAAGAAAATAAATAAAATTAATATAATATTATGAAACCTCAAAATAATATGACCCTAAAATTAATCTCAAAACAAAAACTGACTATTGTATTGAAAATAAAAAAACAAAACACAATTGCTTTTACATTTAAAATTTTTAATTTTGAGAATATTTGAAGAGAAAATAAATAATATATATTAAATTAAATCCAGCAAAATCTTTTCCTCTCTTAAAACTTGTTTCCCAAGACTTTATTCTATTGATCCACCACTGTACCATGGTCTTTCGTACACAGCTCACGAAAAAAACTCCATCTCTCATTTCACATCAATGGGTTCAAATTTTCTCCTTTGTCTTCACCTTTTTAATTTAAAATTTCAAAATCAATAATAACAAATAAATTTTTAAGAAAATGCAGGCAATGTATTAATGCAGAATCGCCACGATCACAATGCAGTGGGGGTGGTTTTCCATAACCCCCAGAACACGAGGGGCATCTACCCGATATTCCACGTAGTGGAAAGGGTACCACTGTCAATTCATCTAAAAGAACCCCAATGCTTACAGCGCACGATAATCTTCTCCAACACGCGTCACCAACCTAAGTGGTCCGTGATTTTCTTGGCTATGCAGATCATCCATTCCTCATAGATCCTACGTGTCATATAAAGCCATGTCAGCAACTTTGCCTCTTTGCTATAAATACCATTGCCTCCCTCACTTGCACCTAATCCAGAAACCTAAACAACCAATACACAGGTGATTTTGTTTTTTTAACTCTTTAACCTTCTTCACTGTTTTTCTTCCAAAACTCGTGATCCACCTCCGGCGACAGGGATCTCGCCGGTGAAATGAACATCCCGGAAAAACTATCTTCTCTTTCTACGAACAATGCACGTCTCTCTTATAATCGCAGTCATGTTTTCCAGGAAAACCTTGATTTCCAAATGTTTTTCAACTTCTCCTCTACTCTCTTAGTCTAGAAGTTATTAGATACTTCTTCCCTTAAAATGGAACATACATGATAGAGTGGTTCTTAAAGATAGATACAAGTTTTCCTAAGATTTCTAGTTTCTAGAGGTTTTCCTCCTCTGCTTTGTCATTCATGCCTCCAATGAAGATCCAACCCATACCTGTGGATTCACAGAAGCTAGCGGTGGTTCGGAACGACCCCGTTAAGCCGGTGCTGAAGTCCCGCTTGAAAAGGCTGTTCGTGTTTGACCGTCAGTTTCCGAATGTGCTCAAGACTTCCTCCTCCTCCTCCTCGGATAAACCTGCTGCCGGGGAGCCTCCTCAGTCCAACGGTAGAGACGTGGCTGCGGAGTTCGAGCCCAGCTCCGTCTGCCTGGACAAAATGGTGCAGAGCTTCATAGAAGAGAGCAACGAGAAACCGGCTCCGACCACCGCAAAATGTGGTCGCAACCGCTGCAACTGCTTCAACGGCAACAGCAACGATAGCTCCGACGAGGAGCTCGACATCTTTGGCGAATCTATTTCCTCTGGCTCGTTCGGCGAAGCCAGTGACGCGCTCAAGGTAACTAGCAAGCTAACTTCTCAAATTGCCAAAACCTGTATAGCTAGTTCAGGATTTTCTCTGCATCCAAACATTTTAGTTTGAATTACGTACTAGCCTTTTTCGCAGAGCTTAATTCCTTGTGCGAGTGTGGCGGAGAGGAACCTCTTAGCTGACACATCCAAGATTGTTGACAACAACAGCAAGGTCTACAAGCGAAAAGACGATTTAAGGAAGATCGTTACCGAAAGCCTCTCGTCTCTCGGTTACGATTCCTCCATATGCACATCAAAATGGGACAAAACGCCAACCTTCCCTTCTGGTAATCTATTTTACTTGTTTTCCCCAAATTTTCTGAAAAAGAAAATATCCAGGGTTCTTTAAATAATTATGGAAAAGTGACTGTTGTGATGTTGGTTCAGGTGAATATGAATACATAGATGTGATTGTGGAAGGTGAGAGGTTGATAATTGATATCGATTTCCGATCCGAGTTCGACATAGCACGATCCACAGGGACATACAAGGCGATCCTTCAGTCCCTGCCGTTCATTTTCGTCGGGAAATCGGATCGTCTTTGCCAGATCGTAGCCTCTGTGTCGGAGGCGGCTAAGCAGAGCTTGAAGAAGAAAGGGATGCATGTTCCGCCGTGGAGGAAGGCGGACTACATGTTAGCCAAGTGGCTCTCCAACTCCTGCACCAGGGCAAATCCGCCGTCTTCCTCTAACGTCAATGGGTCGACGGAGAACTTGAGCGTCGGCGACGGTGCTGCGGCCGAGAGTGATTGTGGTGAATTAGAACTGATCTTCGGCGATAAAATATCGTCGCCCGGGTTGGAGACTTGTTGCAGTGGCGAGAGGAACTTGCCTCCGGTTGCGACTCCGCCGTGGCAGCCACCTGCATTGAAAGTGAGGAGTGTTGAGAGAGGAACGAAGGTGGTCACCGGATTAGCCTCTCTTCTCAAGGACAAGCCATAACAAAATTTTGCACTTAGTTTTTTGAAGAAAAAAAAAGTTAATTAAAAATTAAAAGTATAACCAAAATATTTGGATAAGAGCGCCCTTTTTCTTTTGCCCTTTCAGTTTTACTCTTTTTTTTTTTCTTTTTTTTAGTGTTGCAAGGGGACTCTGTAAGAAGCATCAATGAGTACTCCATGTAATAAACATGAGTAAATATTTGCAGAATCTAACTTTAGAAGAACATACATTGTTTATTTGAAGTTCCCAAAACTGCATTAAGTTATTTCTCTATATTACTGTGAAAGAATCATTGTTTAATTATATCTGTGTTTGGGTTTTTATGTGTGTATGTTTGTAATGATTTCTTGAAACAGAAATAGTTCCATTAGGAAATTCTTGTTGGGTAATCATGATGTATTTAGGAAGTGGGATTTTAGTAAAAGGATTTCTAAACAGCTTAGCCTTGAACTTTCACAAATGGATATTCCATTACCACTGTCGTTGTGGTTGGGTGGTTGATTTCTGAGATGGAAAGCAGGGATAGAGCAGTCACAAGGTCTCTGTCCGTGTAAAGGGGACAGCGGGTGAAACTTTTCTTTCTTAAAATTTACTCATCTTTTCGTTAAATTGTATCAATAGTATTAAAACTCGTATACATGTTTTTATGACTTTAATTAGTAAGATCACAGTTTATGTTTTCATCAGACTAGTAGAAAAGCAGGTAAGGTGAGAAGTGTAGTGATATTGGTGACAGCAGCAGAGGAAGCAAGGTTTGTGTTTTTTTGGTTTGTTATTTTTATTTTTTCCTTTCATGTTATTTCCAATATTGCCCTCATGTTGTCTATCTTTTCTCCTTCCTTCTGCTTGTTGCCGACACTGGTTTCATTTGTCGTGCTCGACGGCATGGGCGCCGTGAACATCATATGTCTCCACTACTGGAGTTGATATCCCGCAGCTGCGCTTCATTTGTTTTCTTTTTTCCTCTTTCCTTTTTTTCTCTTGTTTCCCGCTTTCTTTTTGTTTCAAACCAGATATGGAAATTCTCACCCATACAACAATCCAAGAGAAATTGGAAAAAAAAATTATTTACTACTATTAATATTGGTATTAATCATTAAACTCACTAACACGACCTTGCGAGACGTGAAAGGGGAAATCGCTGGCGCTGCCCTCTTTCCACGACGGGCCACCGCCTCCTATGGCCTCGCCAACGAAAGGGTTGCAGGTAGTGGCGTTGTGGTGGATGGGTTGGTGGCGTGATGGTTATTGACGGAGGCAAGGGACAAAGAGAAAGAGAAAAGTGAGACTTAGGGATAAAAAGGGAAGTGACGGAGGAAAGAAAAGATAAAAAAGGTAAATTTAATCTCATCCATTAATCAAAAAATTAACAGATCTAACGGAGAAAATTGTGTCTCTTACCTTGGGACATACGGAGGGGTTTCCCACCCTATTCGAAACGAACTAAAACAGGAAATCCGTGAACAACAACAGAGACTACTTTAATCTATCACTTATATTATTCTGGAATTTTTATATTTATGCCATTAGAAAAAATATGGAATATTATTAGAAAAATTTATTCTATAAATGTTAAAAAAAATAGTGAAAATTGGTTGTCCCCATTTATGATGTATGATTTTACAACGGATGGAGGGCCCACAGTAAAGAAAGAAAGGTGAGAATGCGTGAGGAGGTAAATTAAGCTAATTTGACTGTGACTCGCTAGTAATGGCATATTATTCCACTCTCTCTCAGTCTGTGGGAACACAGGAAACTGCCTTCTAAATGCAGGACACGTGTCTACCATCACATTTGGTGTGGCTTTTGAAAATGCTGAATTTAAATCTTTTCATACTTTTTTACATTATTATAAACCAATCATTTTTAAATTATTATTTTTAACTAGTAATATAAATAAATCTTCTTGATGGCCTTGTTAACAGAAACAAAATTAAATAATTTAATATGCAAGAATATTTTTAATGACAGGGATTTTTGTAGTTGAAAATTAAACTAGTTAGAGAAACCTCGATACTCTCGCAAGTCACCACTTCCTGAGTTATAAGTTCTTACCACCGACCACCGTTTTACTCTTTTACCCTCAACCCTTGCTCTGATTTTGCCAAAATACTTATTCAAATACCTTGGTGAAATCTCAATTTATTTTTAAACATTGTGAATTTCAGAAGACGGATTTTTGTTTTCTTGCATAAAGATCCAACCTGTGCTTACAGTTAATAACAGTTTTATCTATTTCAAACATATTTAACTATATTTTACTTAAGTTAAACTAAGAGCTATAAATCTTTCCTTAATTACCTTTGTCGTCTTTATAATTAAGACATCATTGATTGAAGGAGAAAATCAACCCATTTTTACTCCACTATTACTTGTCTTTGGTCTAAATTTTCATGGCTGATCATAATTAGTGTTTATTATTTGGAATAAACTCCTTTAATGGCCTTTCCAAACAGAGAGTGGAGGGTAACTTAGCTTTAACCAATCCAAAATCTATACCCAACCCAATTTGGGATGGTTAATTAGTTATATTTGTTAGTATTATATTTAAATTATCTATGCTATTTGTGTTGTTTTTTCATACCATTTAGACTACAAACATATTTAGATTTATTGTTGTTTAAGTCATAATAGAGCTTTAAATTATTGAATTTGAAATTTAAGCCAATATTTTATTCTGTGTGACTTTATCCTTAAAATGAAACTAAACAATTAGTATCACTTTTACATCTGGATTGAAGAGACGTGAAATGTGGGATATCATTTTTCAACTCCAATTCATAATAAGCATATTTACTTATTAACTATGTACAGTAGTCAACTTGTTGCAGACAAATTAAATCTAATAAATAATCATATAAAGAAAATTAATCACTGATAAAAGGTAAACTTTTGACCATAAGAATATAGAAAATTTCGCATTCTTACGTATAACGTAGTTACTAATATATTGAGATGCAATCTCAATGTTAAAAAAAAATTAAAATGTTAAATTTTTTACTTTAATTTTTATCACCTCAATGAAATGTATTTGTTAAGTGAATTTATTGTATTAAATTTTACTCCTTGTATTTTTTTCACACATTTATATTATTTTAATTACATGCCAAATTCAAGCTTTGAGTTAACAATTTTGGAATGGAATTTAAAACTAGACTATATCCATTTTGAGTTAACATTGTACTTTGTTTGTGTATGTATGTACAAAATACAATACAATACGAATACGAATACGAATACGAATGAGATTGGTGTCAATGATTGCAGTGGGCCTGTGTAATGAATCCACTGTGCTATGTAAAGACATAGCATACGTACCCTACAAGGTAATATTCTAGAATTTGAAAAAGTTTATAATAGGTTATTTATTTTTTCTTTAAAATGGGTAAAGCTAATCACAAAGTTGTCAGAGATATTATAAGAAAAACTGTGGGGTCCTCTCTACTCTCATCTCTTTTGCGACACCTATTCCCATCTTTATTATATATTAAAGTAATTAATTAAACCTTATTTGAAGAACATCTAATATACCTAGGACAAAACTTAAACACATTTTTTATTTTATTTTAAAAATAAATTAAGTAATCTCTTTGAATCACAGAAATAATTAATTTGGTATTACTTATTAGATCAAGTTTAAAGTTTTATCTAATTTAAGTAATATAAACTGAGATGTTAGGTTCATCAAATTATTAAGTTGTTGTGGATGATGATTAAATTTAAGAAATCCAAGCACCATTGAAGTGAAAAAATATTAAGAGTATATAACCTACTAAATCTAATCATATATATAGATGATACCGAAGGAACTTAAAAAGAAACAACAACAAAAATATTTATAGAGATAAAGAAATTTATGTGTTACAAAATCCAAAACTATGTTCAATCCTAATAACAACAGACGGTGGATTAAATCAAGCTGTGTAAGCTTTCTTCTTGAGATAAAATTTATTATATTTTCTTAAATTTACGAATTACACACAATAAACAGAGAGTGAGTTATTACCATATGTATTATATTCATTAAGGATATTATTAAAAAAACAGTCATTTCCCAAATATTTTATACAATTGATTAATACTGGAGTTGGATCCCACATAAATTTTAAAAAGTTATACAATTTCTGCAATCATAATAAATTTAGTTAATAAATAAAAACCGTGTTATAAAAATGTTTCAAAAAAACATTTTATTAATGAAAGTTTTTTTTTTGTTGACATTTAAGAACCTGATTGAACAAATTATTTAATTCAAGCGTTTTTTTCTCTTAAAATTTTTTACGAAAAAATTGTCCAAAAACTTTTAGAAGTTAAAACTCAATAAAATATATTAATAGTTTCATATCACGTACCAATTCGATAACCCCCTATCCGTTAATCAGTAAATGAATTTTTTATTCAAAATTAACAATATGTTGATAATATAAAATAATTTTTAAAAAACATAGGTTTGATTTAAAATATATTATCAATCAATTTTATACTTCCTTTTACCTATTTCCACGATTAGTTTAACAAAATTAATTAATATATTAAGTATTTGTGATATGGAGGTCAACAAACATTTATTAGTCAACTTCGGTGCTATTTGGGCCAGAGCCCATTCGGTGAGCAAGACTTTGACTAATTAATGTTGTTGGAGAATGGGAATCAACCACTGACTCATCTAATCAAATACTCTACTATGTCACAATATTCATGTCAAATTGGAGAAAGACACAAGGACAAACAAAATCAATATTACCCTCTCAATTTCTAGCATCTCTTTTGCTCAACTATCTCTTTAATTTTCTTTATAGCAACTGCATTTACAAGTTCTTCAAACATTTCTAAACCTAAATCACCATTGCAATTAGTTGCATTAGGCAAAACATTGATTTCTAAATGCATACACAATGAGCGAGTGAGTGAGAGAGAGAGATAGTAAAAGCTTTTCTACATTTTTTGTCAGTAGTAATGGTTCTTTCAGTTCTGAGTTTTCAGATATAATGCCTATTATGACTCTCTGAGGAAACTAAATGCTTACTTGTTTAGTATATCGCTGTGCTACTGAATCATATTTAAAATATAATTTTATTTCTTCTTAATTTCTCCCCTTGGATCTGTCTTGACTTTGCTGAAACTGAAACACCCATTGTTGTGTGTGTGTGATGAAGCAATAATTGTGAATATGAAGAAGGAAATGGCAAAAGATTCATTAAATTATTGAGTAGAAGACAGCTTGCATCAGAGCTTT